CGGTCCCGCCGTCGCCGCTCGCGTCGCCGTTCCCCTTCGGCCGCGCGGCGGACCGCTACTACCTCTCCGAGATCGACGAGGAGGCGACGCGGTCGAGCCTCGGCGGCTCGAGCCCCCGGGCGTCGTCGCCGGCGGCGCCCGAGGCGTCGCCGCGCGTCTCGTGGTGGGCCCGGTCGCCGCGGGCCGCGCCGCCGCGCGGCCTCGAGACCCCGAACGCCGCGACCCAGGAGCCGCCGCCGCCGGTTTCGCCGCCGGCGGTGTCGCCGCCGGCGGTGTCGCCGCCGCCGGTGTCGCCGCGCGCGTCGTGGCTGCCGTGGTCCGCGGCGCCGCCGCTCTCGCCGTCGTCGCCGCCGCCGAAGCCGGCGCCGCCGCCGGTGTCGCCGCGCGCGTCCTGGCTGCCGTGGGCCGCGGCGACGCCGCGCGGCGAGCGCGAGAGCTTCGCCGAGGAGGCGGACGCGGCGGAACCGTCGCCGGCGGACCCGGCCGCGGACGCCGCGCTCGGCGCCGAGGCGGAGCCCGAGCTCCTCGCCGTGCTGGCCTGGGCGCGCGCGCGCCTCCGGGCGCAGCGGGGCGTCGAGCAGCGCCAGGCGGCGCCCTGGGCGCCGCGGTCGGAGCCGTCGAGCGACGTCTTATCCGCGGCGTTCGCCGCCGCGGCCGCCGAGGCCGGCCCCGCCGCGGGCGACGCCTACGAGGCGACGACGCGGACGCCGCACCGCGCCCCCAGCGGCGCGAGGACCTACCAGGTCTTCCTGTCGCCCGCGATGGCCAAGGCGCGAAAGGCCGCGGCGCCGCCGCCCGGCCTCGCCGCGGACGCCGTCGCCGCGTGCGGCGGCGACGCGACGGTCGCGATCGCGGCGGACGCCGCGCCGCGGCTCGCGGTGCTCCTGCCGCGCCTGGGCCTCTCCGGCGCCGCGCCGGCCATCGCGCCCGCGGGGCCCGACCTCTTCGCCGCGCCCGCCGCGCCCGCGGCCGCGCCGGCCGCGCCGGGCTTCGTCGCGGGCCTCGCGGTGCGCCGGCGCGACGCCGCGTGCCTCGAGGCCCTGGCGGCGCGCGCGGCCGCGGCGGGCGCGGGCGACGTCGCCGTCGACGTCCTCGCCTTCGCCGTCCGCGGCCGCGCGCGCGCGTGGCGCGCCGGCGGCGGCGACGCGGCGGCGGCGGACCTCGCGCGCGCGCTCACGGACCTCGGCAACGTCCTGCGCGGCGCCGACGATCCGAAGGCGGCGCTCCAGGCCCACGAGGCCGCGCGCCACGTCCACGCCGTCGCCGCCGCGGCGCGCGGCGCGCGCGGCCGCGACGGCTGGCTCCTGCCGTCGCTCTTCAACGTGGGCCTCGTCGAGGCCCAGCTCGGGCGCCACGACGCCGCCGTCGCGTCCTTCGGCGCGGCCCTGGCCCTCGCGCACCGCGTCGGCGACGCGGCCGCGGCGGCGACGGCGGAGGACGAGCTCGCGCGCGTCTTCGACGCGCGCGGCGGCCGGCGGCGGGACGTCGCGCGGGCCTACGCGCGCGCGCTCGAGTTCCGGGCCCGCGCCGTCGCGGCCCACCCGGAGTCGACGGCCCAGCGCCTCGACGAGGCGACGACGCGGTGGCGCAAGGGCAGGAAAAGAGAGCGAAATTCCCAACTTCAAAGCCTCCTCTCTCGGCCGGTTTCCACTCGTTTTGGCTGCTTTTTGGACGGGCGATCATCTCTCGGAACGGTCTCGAAGCGTGGATGTTGATGATGGATCGCGCGCGCGCGGAACACCCACATTGAAGCGACGTTGAATCACTCTTTTCCTGGCCAGGTGGCGCAAGGGCAAGGCGGGGGATCGACGCGGGCGCCTTCGCGGCGGCGCTCGCGGACCACGAGGCCGCGCTCGACGCGCGCGCGGCCGTGCTCGGCGACGGCCACTCTCTCGTCGCCGTGTT